AACGTTTGCCCTTCTGCAGCAGCCAGGGCTAACGTTAGCCCGTCTGCAGCAGCCAGGGCTAACTTTAGCCCGTCTGCAGCAGCCAGGGCTAACGTTAGCCCGTCTGCAGCAGCCAGGGCTAACGTTTGCCCTTCTGCAGCAGCCAGGGCTAACGTTAGCCCGTCTGCAGCAGCCCTCTCTCAGCATAGCCGTGTGTGAAGGATCGCTGGCTCTGATGGCTAATTTTTTGTTTTACTTGGAAAAATTTTCATTTGAGTTGTGTTCATCAGACTTTGTTCATTATAATTCCTCAACTAAATTGAAAAAGTAATATTTTATTATTATCTAAACACTATTAATAATAGGAGGTGAAATGCAGCTCCAGCCTAGCTTGAATGTGGTGATGTCATCAGTACGCTTTCGTTCCAGTTGATGCTCCCCTTCTGCCAGAGTCCAGACTTTCCTGTGTTCTTCTCAAGAACAGACTTGGCAAGAACACGAGTTCGTACTGTAGTTGCCCTTTTGTGAATTGAGAAACGGCCTCTCCCGGGGTTATATGTAGAGCTCCCCCTACAGGTTTGGTGGGAGACAGTTCAGTAGATTAGCAATTTATAACCCAGCGTGGCTTATATGTGCATTTCAAGTAAAAAAAAAAAATTGTTTGCATGCTTATACTGAGGTGCACCCTATAGTCCAGAAAATATGGTTTTTAAAATATTATTTACACCACACTGTAAAGCTATTGGAGAAAGTCTTCTTTTCAACAAGCTGTATTTACATAAAGAACTCCCCAAAGAACCTGCAGTTTAATAAACCAAAGGTCTGTTTAAAAGCTTGTCCTGTTTTTCATGGTGGACTTAAATGGCAGATCTTTTTTTTCCTTACTATGCCTCCTGGAAGCTTTAGCCTTCATCCTGATGATATGACGGGCATTTTTATTATGCTTTCCATCAAAGTAATTAACAACGACGAGCACAAAGATGCGCCGTGCCTCTTAAGATGTCAGCACAAAACAAAGCGTCTCACTTTAGGAGGATCGCTGATCAAATACAAATTGGACTTCTTGAAATGCAAGGAAACGGACCAACTTTTATCGTGTTTTAAACTTTTGTGCTGTTGTACAGCGTTTCACAAAGTAAGCAGATGGTCCAGCTGCAGAATAACCCATTTCAGACCTCCTGCATGGTAAATCGATTCCCTGGGCAGCTACAGAGCTTTGCAGTAGAGAGAGCAGGAGAGTCTCCAAGATAAAACGGCTTTCTTGGGACTCTTTCAAATTTATTGAACATGTCAGAGTTTATGTTAAGAGAGGAGGAGGAAGACAGTGAGTAAATAAGAATTAGTATGTTTACTATTACTTGGAAATATGCTTGCATATATTTTCTAACAGCAGTTTTATTAATTTAACACTTCTTCATACTGCTGTCAGTTTAAAGCACTGTTAGATTTTTGTAACATAAAATTCTTTTAGTCATGTTTGTTGGTCAGCTGCTGAACAAAATTTTTTATTCTAAATGAGACATTTTTTCTTAAAATAAGTGAATTTTTTCTTGAATTGATGAGGTTAGTGAGACACTTTGCCGATGGAAAAAGACAATTTACATTTAAAATAAGAAAAAACACTTTCTTTGTTTTATTTTAAGTGCATATTATCTAATTATCATATTTTAAGAGTAAAAATTCTCATTCCATTGGAAAATCATCTTATTTACTTGCATAAATTAAGGGTAAATGCACTTAATTTAAGACATTTTTGCCCATTTCTAGATTGTTTTTCCAGTGCACTGCAAAAACAATCTAGAAATGAGTAAAAATGTCTTAAATTAAGTTTATTTAACCTTATTTTGAGTAGGCAAATGAGACAGTTTGCCAATGGAATGAGTATTTTTACTCTTAAAATAAGATAATTGGATAATATGCACTTGAAATAAGACAATGCAATTGTGTTTTCCTATTTCAAATGTAAACTGTCTCGTTCCATTGGCAAAATGTCTCTTTTTCTTCCTCGATCCAAGAACAAATGCACTTATTTTAAGAAAAAATTACTTATCTAGATTTTGATATTTTTCCAGTGTGCTGTAGTATCAGACTCTGAAGACTGCAAAAACAATCTAGAAATAAGTAAAAATGTCTTAAATTAAATGTATTTACCTTTAATTTAAGTTGGTAAATAAATTGTTTTGCCAATGGAATGATTATATTTCCTCCTAAAATAAGAAATTTAGATAACATGCACCTGAAATAAGACGATACAATGTTTTTTTCTTATTTTATATATAAGTTGTCTCACTTACCTCCTCAATTGAAGAAAAAATACTTCTTCAATTACTTCTAAATTGCCTTCTAAATTGCCTTCTAAATTAAGGCAATTTATTTGGTCAAAATTGAGTCTGCATGGCAGGTTTTACCATCTGCTGTTAAGCTGATGTGCAATTATTTATATACCCTTTAACATAGTATAAACAATCCATTGCTCATTTACAGTGATGGATTAGTGGCGCATCTTTTCAACCTATTTCGCTTTGATTGAATGCACCCATCAGGCAACAATTCTCCACCTTGACAGGCAAAAACTGTGATCTTTCATGGCGATCAAAAACTTTCAACCGTTACCTCTCTCTGTCCCCATAAATGACCGCTGAAGCATCTGTAAATCACAGCCCGGCATAATAACTTCCTTCATAGGGACCTCTGGACTTGGCTTTGCTGAAGCATCAACATGCAAACGAGCAGCGGGGCATACTTACAGAGGATAGGTTTATGATTCCCAATATGAACACATGAGATGTGAAGAAGAAATGTAATATTATTAAAAGGTCATATTTTGTGGATGCTATCATCCCTGGCTTCAGATTTAACACTGAAGTCACCAAATTAGTTGCAAAGATAAGGGAGGACAACACCAGACAAGAATACAAGCAATCAAACAGTGGTTCTAAGGAAAGCAGAGAAAACAAAGATGAATACTATAATTACCTCCCAAAGTATGTGTTGCAACCATCCATCACAGCTTATCGCCCGTCTTCTGTAGCTGATGGAGTTTTTGTACAAGTTTCTCTCAATAATAAGGGATTATCACAAACATTTAAGGTGCCCTCGCTTTGTGTAAAAGAAAGCTTGCTAATGTTGTTCCGTTTGATCTATTGTTACGGCACCTTGTGCAGAAATATCACAGAAACGTGGGAGTTTTTATATCCAGACAATGACCAAAAACAACTAAATAAAGCAGCATTTTTCTACCCTGTAATAACGGCATCCAGAAACTTAAAGGAGAAATTTTATTTTATGTTAAACGTTAAAGCGGTCTTTTCTTTCATGCTGCAAGATGAAATGATGAAATGCTTTTAACAAGCTGCACTTCAAAGACAAAAGATGCTCAGCTCTGGCATTGTGACACGAACTGGTTTAACTTTTCTAATTTAAAGGGGGATTTCAATGAGATTAAACGCTAAATTTATTGATTTTCCTTTACTGGCATGTTCCTCTTCCTCTACTTTTTAAAAATATTGTGTGCCGCCTTTGGGTTGACCTTAAATATGACATTATTAAAAGAAAACCCTCTGATATAGAGGAATTACAACAATACTGCAAAAATAAAGCTCAGATTACACCTTTTTTTTTTATCTAAAACAAGGAAATTTGACAGAAAAAGCTAAAAAATGAGAGCTTTAAGGGGGGAAAGGCTTTTTATAGTACAGATAAGATGTTAAAGTACTATAAGTTAGGTGGAGATTAACAGTCATTCAGGTCATAGTCATTCCAAAAAGTCAAAATTAAAGAAACAAACCACTGGATTTTATTTTCTAAGTTTGAAGATATATATATCCGTTTCCAGATGGATTTGCTCCGCATATCCATCTGGAAACCTTCCGTTGAAGTAATTTTGGGAAGGGGCGAAAATACTGGTTAGCTGATTGGCCTATGTTGGTGATAGACGGGCCAAATAAACCAATCAGATCAATGAAGCATATGACGTACTAACAGAGCGACGACGAAGAGGAGCCAATTGATAGATCAAACTCTTGCTGAAACCAGTCGGGAGAAGAGCAAAAACATCTTTTCCTCTGAGAAAAGCCTCCAGAGCAGTGTTTTGCTCTTCTTTCAGTGAAGAAATACTCTGTAATTCCGATAAAACTTGCTCGATAGCCACGCTAACGCTAGTTTCATCGGCTGAAGCCGCCATGTTCTTTAGCCTGAACTGTCGCGCTTCTCGTTGCGTCACACCTCAACCCGCCTCAAAGCCAACGCTGACTGGACGTTCGTTTGGTGAACGGCTCCAAATTTTCTTTAACGGAGAGTCTCCAGACTGATCTGCGAGTGAAACCTTGAAAGCTCGCGAGATCAGGATGGTCTCACGGGGCTAGAGTCCAGGTGTCATTTACAAAAATACATAAACCACTACGAACTGGACCCTATCGACAAGGAGAAGCAGCGATTCTAGACTGTTCACAAAGTCCATCCATCCATCCATCCATCCATCCATCCATCCATCCATCCATCCATCCATCCATCCATCCATCCATCCATCCATCCATCCATCCATCCCTCCATCCATCCATCCATCCATCCATCCATCCATCCATCCAGCCTTCCATCCATCCATTCACTCAAAAAAAAGTACAACCAGTACAACCAGGCGCAGTGGAAGCTAATGTTAGTTGCTTGTATGTGGATCTTCTTCTTCTGGCCTTGATAAATATCTCAGACTACTGTTATTTTGAGAAAAGCAGATGACACAGTAAATCTGGAGCTTCAATCTGGCTAAACGGCAGATTAGAGCAAATAATGTCCAAGTTGGTTTATCCATCTCCCCCTTCTAATCTATGTGCAATTCAATTTAATCTGACATTTTGAATTGAGAAATCTTCCTGGATGGGAAGCGAAAAGTCCAAGTCTTCAAACTTGGAAAATAATTTTTTTGGAGTATAATAAGTTGGTCTAAGTCTGAGGGAAGTTAGCGTTTTCCTGGTTCTGCTGAGGCGTAAACCTCTAAACAGCATCTAAAGGATAAAGAAGTTTACCTTCAGCACGGTGGATCCCATCTCCAGGCCCACCAGAATCGTCCTGTCCACCAGCTCCGCGACCTTTGGGTCCACCACCTTCAGGGAGTCCTGGACGAGGTCTGTGATGTCCACCTGCCAGTCTGGTCCCAGCATGGTGATCACCTGATCTGTGCCCTCTGTGGAAGTGGTGTGGAACTGGGTCAGCACTTTGACCATGGCTCGCTGGTACTGGAGGGCACAGCCGCGATTCATTCGCCTGTCGTCCTCGTCGTCATCTGCATCGCTGTCCCTGGTGCTCCTACGACAGAAAAAAAAAGGGAAACACAACAAGATTTTAATACAAAATAGAAATCTGGTAACTGATGAAATCCCATAAGAGTTTGCTGGTGAAGATTCTCCGTCATCCAGGTCATAGTCATACCGAAAAAGTAAAAAAAAACAATCACTGGACTTTGTTTCTAAGTTTGAAGACGTTTCGCTTCTCATCCAGGAAGCTTTTTCAATTTAAAATGTCAGGAATAGCGTTGAGTTCCAGGATTTATACGGCAGCCCAACAAAGTCTTGTTTTTGTTTAGAAAACATGCAAATTGAAACGGACGAACGGGTCCACCCCTTTGGAATGGGCTGTCATTGGGCTCTTTGTTAGCAATACACGACACCTGTCTATGTCTCTGAAAGAGGAGTCGTTAGAGGGAATAGTTGACTTTTTGGGTCCACTCTATAAAGCCTTGAACTCAATGGTATTTAGGGGTGTCAACAATAATCGATTCAGCGATGCATTGCAATAAGGGGCATGCACGATTCAGCATCAATGCGGCAACGTGCCATAATTGATTATATCACTGTTTATTTTCTTGCCTCAAATGGACAAGTTGTGAAGTTTCAATTACTTCCGGGGGCATACCAACAACAATCAAGATGGCTGAGGCGGAGGGAGATGACCGCGATAGACGGGTAGGCCTAATTAAAAACGCACCAAAAGCTTGGAAAGCGGATATCTGGGCAAATTTAGGATTTTACGAAATCAATGGGATTTTGGTGCATCGCAATGCATCGTAGAATCGAATCGTTACCCGGTGAATCGTAATCGAACCGAATCGTGAGGGCAGTGCCAATTCACACCCCTAATGCTATTTCTGACATTTTTAATTGAAAAAGCTTCCTGGATGGGAAGAGAAACGTCTTCAAACTTAGAAACAAGTTTTTGGAATCCCATTAGAGTGCAAAGATTTTGAAGGTATCTGTGTTTCAGAAATTATCCATCTTTAAAACTGCATTTAGTAAAAAAAGAGCTGATAAATAGAAAATCCTAATTCCTGTATTATTTGGTTCAAAACCAGAAATGCCCTGCAGTGCAAACTCATTCCTAACAATGTGTCTATTTCATAAGATAGGCCTTTTTTCCCTAAGGGAATCCAATTACTGTATAATCTGACATCATAATACCTTCAAGAATCCTGGCACCTTTTGGAACAAATCAATCACACTGTCTGCTTTACTGGAGATGAAGTCTAAGTCCTCCAAGGTAGGAAAAAAGAAATAATAAAAAAAAGAAAAGAGAAATCCCCTCAGAGCAGGATTCTGGATGGATGCCTGTTTTTAATCACAGGAGCCTGGGGCAGTGAGGTCAGGCATGCCAGGTGCATCCCCCCCACTAAGAACAATCTGCTCAACATCAAGATGTATGAGTTAGCCGACATCCCTCAACATGCTGCACAATCTGCCAGGTTAAACAGCACAGCTTCAAAAGGCTCCCTTACAAACAAAGCAACTGTTAACACTTCAATGGATGTTTGAACTGAACACTTTAAATCAATGTTAATAATTTGCCTCTTTGCACCTCATCAATTTATCTATTACTTTAGGAAATTGTCAATAAATTCATACGAGCAAGATGTCCGATGCTAAGGAATAAGAGTTTCCAAAAAGGCACACATCCCTACAACAGAAAAACATCCTCTATCTTTTCAATATTTTCAATGATTTTCCCTCCAAACAACCAGACTCTATAAAAAAGAACCTTCATGAAGCCACGAGAATTGGAATATATTAAAGATTATTATATATACGACTTAGATATAATATAGCACCTCAATTCAGTTTATTTCTATAGCGCCAATTCACATCATGTCATCTCAGGTCACTTTCTAGTTCACCAGATCATCAAGTTAGATTGATTCAAAGTTTTCTATCTAAGGAAAACCAGCTGATTGCATCGACTCATTGACTCTTCAGCAATCCCTCACACTAAGCATGCTTGTAGCGACAGTGGAGAGGAAAAACTCCCTTTGAACAGGAAGAAACCTCCAGCAGAACCAGGCTCAGTGTGAGCGGCCATCTGCTGAGGCCCACTGGGGTTCAAGGAGACAGAAGCAGACATAGAAAAAGAAGCATAGATACAAAAGGCAACTGTAAAAGGCGGCGCCGTCCAGGAAACACACAGCCAGGCAGACGAGCTCCGAGCCAGCTCCCATGTCAGAGGATGAAGAGCATTAAAGTAGAAAAAAAAAGTTACATTTACATCATAAAGTAGAGTCTGAAAATGTAACCGATAACAGAACTAATTATTGTCCATTGTTCTAGTTGTGCCTGGAGTTAAAATCCTGCCTTACAGGATGTCAGTCAGCTTTGGGTCCTCCCTTATATTCTAAACTAAGTTAAAAATGTTGACTATTTTGTAGACTTTTAGCTTTTAACATGGTGTAATAAAGGATGCTTTCCTTTTTTTGACAGTATTTATTGTCATTTATACTGTCACAAGTACAGAGCAACGAAATTCACTCTCTGCATTTAACCCATCCCCTTGGGGAGCAGTGTGGGGTTAAGGGTCTTGCTCAGGGACCCAGAGTGGCAGTCTGTGGGAGTGGGGCTTTAACTCAGAACCTCAGGATTCCAAGCTCTATGCCGTAAGCACTAGACCACCACTCCCCTAACTATGCCACGCTTATATCACCTATTAGGTTAAAGGTTAATTTGTTCAAAGGTATTATAAATAGCAGTTGCACTTAAGCTACTGGGCCGCCCAGTAACCCTAATATTAAAGTACAAAGTAACACTGCAGTTATAGCAATTATAGCTAAATTAAATAGTTAAAAGACTCCAAAACATTTCTTACATTGCTAGGAATCCAGTTTGTGTGGTCTGTTTTGTGTCTGTCTCTCCCTCCACCACCAGGTGGCACCCTGTCATTGTTGATCCTCCCTGCACACCTGCGGCTCTTTGGATCATTATCTGGAGGAGTACTTAAGCAGTGGACTGTCACTACCTCGACGCCAGAGTGTTTGCCAGTTTTGGGTAGCCTAGCCATGCTAAGATTAACTGAGTCTAACCTGAGTCTTTGTTTCTCTGAGTCTAACCTTGTTTTTGTCTTTGCCTTTGGCAGGAAGTCCTCCTGCGTCCTGGAAGTTTGGTCTTCTTCCCCTGGAAGGATTGTTTACTGAGTTCACACTGAGAAGGGGAGAAGCCTCCACATGTGCCGTTCAAGTCCCTCATGGTCCAAAAAATGTCTACCTGTCCACTCTTCAACATGTTCCCTCTTCTCTGGATCAACCCACACAGACTGGATGCAAAGTGAGAGTAGAACCCCCTCAAACGTGAGTCCCTCACTAGCGTTTTCCTTACGGCATGCAAGATTCCCACGGTCCCTAAACAAACTGTTTTGATATCCCCTCTAGACTTCCTAGTTCCTGTTCACCAGCTCCCCGAGTCCCAGATCATACCCCCCTTCTACCCTTACCTCAATAAACTTGTTAAACCTTTGCCTTGCTCTCTGAGTGGTTCTCTGCATTTTGGGTCAGACCTCTAAAACACATTAGGACATACATGTGTTTATTATATAATTTTGTGATTAAAAATTAAAAGTACATAAGATTAAGATTAAGGTTTGACTTTGGAAAACTGTATAAGTGGAAAAAAGGAGGATCAAGACTTTATTACCTAAATATTTTGAGAAAAATAAATAAATATCACATTGAAATGTGTAGTTCTAAAATAAACTGTATAGAGGGTGGAATGGTGATAAGAAAAGGCAGTCTAAGAAAGAAGACTCCTAAATAATAGACTAAGAGTTATTCTAAAGTTTACCAACTTGGTTCAGGTCACTGAAGGTTTACCTTTCAGACTCTGCACCTGAAAACAAGGTGGATTTTTTTTTTCCTCTGGAAGAAAATTGGGCCCGGCTTGTTTGAGTCTTTTTGATACAAAAAAAAACACATCTGCAGCTTCCCGTGCACATTTGGGGTTGCTCAAACCCATTACCCCTTTCCTTTTTCCTTTTTTTAGAGCATCCCTTGGGCCGGATAAAACAGGGCCCAAAGAGCAAAATTTTCTACACGGCAGCGAAGGCCCCCTGCAAGGGCCCGGGGGAAACCCCGCTAAAACCTCCGAAAAGGAAAATTTTAGAGTGACTATTTTTTTGAGGGTTTAAAGGGAAAGTTGGAGGACGGGGAAGCCCAAAAGACAGGATGAGTAAAGAGAGATAGGAGTGAACATTGGGATGAGTGAAAAGACAGTAACTGTTTAATATTACAGGGCGATCCTATGAAAGATGGGGGTTTAAAAGGGGGTTTTTAAAAGGGGCAAACAAAAAACTTTTTTTTAATTTTTTCTAAACCCTGTCAGTTTACCCCTTGCCCTTTTAAAATTTCCTTAAAATTCCCAAGTTTGTTATCTTTCGCTTTACAGTGAAATTTCAAAACCCTTTGGGCCAAAACTTTTTGACGTAGTTTTCCCCCAATCCCTTTAAACCCCAGAAGGTCCTTACATAGAGTTTCACAGTTCATCAAAACACTTTTCAATGTTTTGTAATGCTAATTAAAATTTTAAAAGGGGTGTAAAATTCTAAAAAATTTTAAAAAAGGTTTTCCTAATCTTAAAAGTAAAATACTTAAGTTAAAAAAACAGTTTTGTTTTTAGAGGGAAGGGAAACCTTGGTATATCTGTAGGGAACCCAAAAAATTTTTTCAAACCCCAAAATTTTTTAAAGGTTTGGGGGCCCCCAAAAAATTGGGGTTTTTAGGAATATATTAAAAAGTAGCATTTTTCCCCATGAACCCAAAAATGGTATTTTGAGGTTTTTAACTGCGCTTTAGATTTTGTTTTGGGCATCAAATTTTTCTCTAGGTGTTTTTTCAAAATTAAATATGTTTACCTTCTGGGAGGGAATCCAGGTGTCATTTACAAAAAACCAAAAAAACCGTGTCCATTTACCTTCCCTTTCCCTCCATCCCAACCCTCTCCATCCATATCCTCCTCCTTTCCCTCCATCCATTTTCCCCTCCCATCGTCCATCCATCCCTC